GCTCTCCATGGCAAAAGTAGATCAGGCTGATCAGCTTTTAATGCACATGCAGCCTATTTCAAACACATAATGAATTTCAGGAGTTTTTTCTAGCCCAGAGAGAGAAAAGAATAGACATGTTTTCTGTAGAGAGTCAAAAGATACTTGTGTGACTGCAAAGCTTCCCAGCGGGTGAGGAAGGATGGTCAATTGCTATTGCAGAGATTTGTAGCTTCCAAGCAGGAGAATTATGGTGGGAAGCCCAGAGAAACAAGGCTGTTCATGGAAAAAGCAGATTCTTTAGTACAACATTCAGCAGAATTTGAATGCTGTCCCTTGGTTCTGAGATTATAAATCAGCGATCACGTAATTTTCTGAATTTACACCCTATGGTATTACCTACCACAGAAAGGATGCTTGGTGCTCTCTGTCATTTTGCTGGACTAAGCAGGCAGACTGGGTGATGGCACAGCTGGGAATCCTGACACCAAACCAGACCTCTAGCTCTTTGGAATAGCTCCTGTGTAAACACTGGGGGTGGATCACAAATGGGGGCTGCTGAGGATTCTCTAACTGTTAAAGAAATGGTGACCAAGCTTGGAGAAAGAAAGCTGACTCCAGCAGTATTCTATTTGCTCTAATTGCCATTATTTCCAAAGCACTTTTATTTGGAGATGTGAAAAAGGAGGCGAGGCCAAGAACCCACAAAACTCCTAAACCCAGTGAGTGGCTCAGCTTTTCTGCTCCAGCTCGCAGAGGCAGTGTGGGGCTCTGGTCTCCTCAGTGTGTCTGTGTTTGTTCCAAGCCTCAGACACAACCTGGAGGTTTGAGCTGACAGGGTTGGAACCCAGGGATTTCCCATCCTGGTGCTTCTCTCTGTCCCCAGGTATCCAGGCAGTGTCAGTGCTCCCTGGCAGTGTTCAGCCATGGCAGTGACGAGGTGACAATGCCCTGTTGGCCCTGGGGTAGCTCAGAGGCCAGAGCAGCCTGTGGTGCCCCATGGCTCATCTCATGGTAGCACTCTAGCACTGTGGGATCAGGAGTGCTGCTGGCAGAGCCTCGTAATTCTTGTAGGTGAGAGCTCGAGTTTCCAATTGCTCTCCAGGGCATTGTTTTACATTTCATTGCTGTTATAGAATTGGCTGTGCAAATAACAGACAAATAGAAAACATGATTTGGTCTTATTTTTGATTGAGTGCATTTATAGATACAAACTTGAGTTGCTAGTGGTTCTGGTTTTAGGTCTCTGAGAAAGTGTTTGCTGTGATCCCTTTGTGCTGCAAATTTGAGAGACCTGATTTTGCATTTTCTGACCTGGCATTTGTCTGGAGTAAGGAACCAGTATCCAGTTTACTGGTCTCAAAGCAGTGTGGGTGTAAATTTAGAGGAGCTCCATGCGAGATACTAATTCATGGATGAGCTTCAGGTGAAAAGAACTTCAAAAGTTTGTTGTCTTCTTTTGGTGCTACAAATTTGTTTTAGGTGAAGAATGGTGGAAGAGTAGGGATGGCAAAGACCTAGTAAATTATTCAGTAAATTTTCCTAATAAAGCATTGCTTGTTTCTAAAATACTTCCATTTTTACTCTCCAATCCAGACTAACTTTGATGTCCACTGCTTCCTTAAGGTTATTATTTGCAGCCTGTCACAGTCTCTCCAAGAAGAAAACAGTACTTTTGTGGCCAAGACACAAGACTAGGGCTCAAGAGGTTTAATTTTTGTTTCTTGACTCTGCATTAGGCTTTGTGACTGGGCTCAGACACCTACTGCTGACCAGGAAACATGAGGCTTGGCTCTCTTGCCTCCTTCTCATCTACATTTCAAATTTGTTTAGTCAGGACTTGTCTCTTCCTTTCAATTTCTTTTTCACTTGGAAGTATATTAACAAAAAAATTAACAGAAAAAAAATTAATACTTGAGAGGCATTTTAAAGCAGGAATTATTTTATTATAATCAGCCCTAAATAGTAGTAATTCTCTGCTTGCAAAACAGACAACACTAGTTTCCTACAAGTATTAGGGAAAATAATTTTATGGACTTTCTTGATCTTGCCATAGGTTCTGCAGTTTAAAAGATCATTAGCCCAGAAGAGCTGACCCTCTCAGTGTGAATGTGATTCTGCAGGCCACAGAGACTTTTTGCATGGTAGAAATTCTGCTTTCACAGTGCCAGATTTTCTCCCTGAGGTGCTCTTTTTTATTCTACACATTCATTTCTGATGTTATTTTGTGCTAAGAATCTACTGAGTTTTATGATCAGATTGTACAGTGAAGCCCAGCTGCAGCTTTATAGGAGCAGAGGTTTAAGGGAAGGTTTGCGTGGGAGGAATTACTTGAAGTAAATTCAGTGGCTGGATGTGAAAAGGCCTGCTTTTCTTCTACAGAAAAATCTGAATTAAGGCATCTGTTCTCAAGCTATCATTTTAAAATTATATATATATGGGGGTCTGTCTATTCAATGCTGAAGGTTAAAATTGCCAGATTGTTTAATACACAAATCTTTCAGCTTTGACTATATTTGTACATGTACTTAATGTGTATACAGTAGAGTTCTGTACTGTGTGTAGTGCTGAACCAACAATACTGATGGTTTCTAAGGAGTTTATACATCTACTGGCTAGAACTTTATAAAAAAGATCCATTGTTTTAAATGAAGAAAGAACAATTTCTCAAGACACATCTACGAATCAGCTACTTGTTTTATTGGGCTGGGTTGCAATGGGTAAGTTGTGCCTCTGAGAAACACATTAATAAACCTTTGGCACAGAAAACCTTGAGAGAAGCAAAGATAAAATTTGTCTGCTTACCTGAAAAGTTTTATATATATATATATGGTTTTTTTTTTAAAATTCCTGGTTCCCTCTGATAAGCTCATAAATGAACAGAAATAGTGAAACTGTCGCAGAACTCTAGTAGTATTTTGTATCTACCAGTTATGGTACAGATCAATTAATACAAGGTGTGTTGTTTGCAATCTTTTAAAGTTCTAAATAAAGGAGAGTAACTAGAATATTCAGATTCCTCACAAGAAAGAAGTCATGCTGTGCTTGTAAAACAAAAAACTATCTTTGGTTTTATGGAATTTTATGGGTTCCTGGGAGTACTCATTCCATACTTATCAAGATACTTTACCAGGAACTGCAGTAGGAAAAAACCTTGCAGGCAAGTAGTGATATGGCCGGTCAGGTCTCAGCAGATGGTATTCTAATGCTGTATCCAAAAAATACAAGTTCAAAATAAATGTTGTGTTCCTGTGTGTGACAGGAACACAACGTACAGAATAAGAACCACAATGAAATATATTCACATTTATAACCTGAGACATAATTTGATAGACTGAAAGAGCAAATGCTTTTGAGAGTTATTGAAGGAAAACACTATTAGCTTAAATTTCCACCCCTCTTTGAAGTTAGTACCGTTAGGCCAACACTGGGGATTCGTATAAATTACATTTTTAAATTTGATATAGAATATCAGCTTTCACGGCGAGATCTGATCTGTTCATTGCCTTCAGTCTGGATTGTCAACACTTGTGAGTGTGGGCTGGTGCTGACACTGCTGCTGTCAACAGCCCCACTCCACTGCCTCCTGCAGTTTTCTGCCTGCAGCCTGGGATGTCAGAAACACTTCATTGATTGTGCATTGGGAAACTTAATCTGGTTAAATGGATATGTCCTCACACAGAACAAGTGGTAGCTTAAGGTGAGAGTAGCTAAGCTGATGTTGGTAGAGAGAGATGGAGGAAAAGTGGAAGCAAAGCCTTCCCCAAATAGAACAGGTTTCTTTTAACTTTTATGGGAACACTGGAGAAAAACTACTTAGGAAAACTCTGTCCATTTCTTCATGTTTTCAAATGAGACAAGGTGCCTTTTAGAAGATATGTTGTGATGCACAATTTTCTCATAGCAATGTTTGGGTAAGAGGATGAAATCTAGGCGACTCTAATATACAGGGAATTATGCAAACTGCTGACCCTTTATGGCTTTGTAGTCTGAATTCTTCAAAATAAATCCACTGTTCATTTGGCAGTGGTCTTTGTGGCAGAATCTCCTTTTGTGGAGGACAGTTTCAAGAAATTTGCAAGAAATGAAACAGAAAGATTGATGCATAAGAGATGTTTCTAAAAAATTCCTTATTATGAACCTCTGAAATGGTTATAATATGTGACAGTTGTATTTATAAAAGTAGAAGGAAAAGACCAAGCCACAGTAAGTTAGGTAATGTAAATAACTATTCAAATGTATTCAGGTAGGATCTAATCTACTGCCCTTTGTAGTCCTGTAGTTGGTTCTTGTACTTGATGGCTCACTAAATGCAGTCTGTTTTGTAAAGAGCTCGCAGGCCTTTTGTGGTGTTCTTAAAATCACTCTGTCAACACAGTAACTGTAGATTTTTGTGTAGTTTGTGTAATGAAAACTGAACCAGAAATTTAATCCCTTTCAATTGCCTATGTGAGCAGAATAGGCTCTGCAGCACTAAGTGGTGTGCTCTGGGTATGCAGACTCCCTGAAACTCCTGCTTCACACAGTGGGAGCAGCAAATTCCTGCATTCTTTGAAGATGTTCCAATGAAGTTTCTCTACCTGTTCAACAGTGTTCATTGTGCACAAAGCATTTTTAGTCACATAATATCACTGGTCACTGGTTTTGCCCATCTCTTTTTCCACGCTCTTCATTCATCCCTTGTTGAGTGAAGTGAGCAAATATAGCAATTAAAAAGGGATTATAATACTGGAATTCTGGGAAATGCCTACTTGAATTAATAATTTTTGTTTTTGTGGGACAGAGAGTCTTGAAAGATTGGGTAATCCGCAGCATGAAAACCTTTTAATTTTTTTTCCAGCGTTTGACATGATTTGGTCAAATCTGAAGATTTCTTTAGACCTCTGAGCAATGTTTTCTTCCGAATTGTAAATTGCAAGCTTAATGTTTTCTAAATTGCAGCTTTCCCATTCTTTCATGTCTGTTTATGCAGGATTTGAAGCAGTGTTTACGTTTTGGTGTGTTCTCGGTGGCTGTTGCAGGTAACGGCAAACGCGTGCAGTGGCTGCGGGGCAAGGACGGTGAGGTCTGGGTCTGGGTGATGGGAGAAGCCCCGGGGGACAAACCCTACGAGCAGATCTCGGAGGAGCTCATAGCAGAGCGGGCCAGGCAGCAGGCACAGAAGGAGGCAGAAGAACTATGGTGAGGATTTAAGATTCTCAGTTCAGGGTCCACTTGGCATAATGGGAGGCATGACCTTGTAGAAAGGTGGGGGGTAATGGTGGGTAAAACTGGTAAGTATGTTTTGTGAACGTTTGCTTTCACTTGTTTTGTCAGGTTTTCAGCATGTTAAAAATGTTGCTTTGCTTTTATTGAATATTCAAGCCAAAAACCCTATTTGCAAAAAAAGTGATGCCAACTTCTTTCTCTCTTGGGAATTTAGCTAAACCGTTGACCAGCCTGCAAATAAAGAAAAATGAACAGTCTGGTTTTGAGATGATTAAATTAGATGTGTTTGTTATATCACAATTCTGAGCCCACAATGGGGGTTTAGTACATAAAATCCTTTTGGAAATTGGTTTTATTTGCAATTTGCTTGTATTAATTTTTATTCCAGCAGTTCAACACTCATTATACAAAGTCCCATACGGATGTTTCTAGCAGGGCCTTTTCCAGATTTGGGGGAGGTTCAAAAGTGTTTTGATGCTTGATATTGTTAGGAATTAGGCCACCTGCTTCACAGACTTCCCTTTGTAGTGCAGCACTGAAAAGTGACTCTTTAATATCAGGTTATTCTATGTAGTCCTTTTTTGTATGAGATTATTCTTGCTTTGAGTGTTTGCATATTTAAGCAGGGATTGAAACCTTCAACCTGTGCACTGAATTCCTTTTACATTGTCAGTATGAATAAACAATCTAGCATGGGAAATTGGGATGCATTTGTACTGGTATTTGAAATTCCCAACCATGCTTTACTAGGCTAATAGAAAGATATAAGGTATGTCTTAAAGACATCCAAGAAGTACTTGTCTAACTTAGAAGTGCCGTTTTAATTAATAATTTATCAAAAATTGTAAATTGCCTGCTTTCTGGACGGTTTCTTCAAATATGATTTGTGGTAGGTCTCTTGTTAAATAGATTTTAATTCTTTCCTTGCATCTTTCCATCAAGTCTTATGCTAATTATTTATTGCAAGTAAGTATTGATCCTCAATTTAAGAAAATTACTGCATTAAGTTTTTGTTTTCACATCATTTTCTGAAGGAGACAAAAGGAAGCTGAAATAACAAAGAAATTCCGTGATGCTATGGCTCAAGAAAAAGCCAGAATAGTGGCAGAAAAATGGAAAATAGAAATGGAGGATCGGAAAGCAGCCAAACTGGAGGAAGAAAAAATTCAGGAGGAACTGAAGGTTTGCATAGAGAAATTTAGGGTTTTTTTTATAATGTTTTCATATAGATTCACAATTCTTGTCACCTTCAGTGCATGCTTATTAATAAGCTTTAAAATCCAGAGTTGTAATTTTTCATTCTGGAATATACAGATAGCTACATGGTGTTCAGCAGAACAGCTGGGTGAGTGATGAGAAAAAATTACAGGTCTCATTCAGAAGTGCCAGAACAATCAAACTGGTTATTCAGCTCACACATTAACAGAATTGTTCAGTCAGCTGTGCTGGATGAATCATCCTGGGGGAAAAAATGTACAATTGGGAAAGATCTCATTTTAAGTTAGTTTGCTTGAATGTATTCTGTGTATTTTGGATGAGTTCGTTCACATAATGAACTTCAAAACTGTGTCACTACTTCCTTCAAAATAATAAGGGGTGGATCCTTCCCCTACTCAACATATGGAAAAAGTCCAGTTGGCTTTTCTGGGAGAAGTTAATTTGCTCGATTTTTATTGACTTCACAATGAACTTTTTACAAGCTCAGTTACAGTATTTTAGTGTTTGTTGGAAATAATATTTTTTTCACAATTTCTAGTTGAAAATAGAAATTTCAAAACTAAATAGGGAACACCTCTGTCCACTCTTTTCATATTTCTTGATAAAGATAAAAACTTCTTTAAAAATGAGAAAGTGAAATATAATGGGTTCAGTGTGCAGAGAAGTCATGACCATCCTCTGAGGCTGGGATGTGCATGCCGGGACTGCACATGGTTGGTGAGGCTGAGTTTCCATGCAGAAAGACTGTAGAAAATCTGACTCTGAGGATCCAGTAGCTTCCATCCACCCTCCTCCCCCCGTTGACTTGCTATGTCTCTTCTTCCTTTCCTGGTGCAGTGATTTAAGGTACGGAAAGGGGGGATAGACTTTTCCCATTGTCCCTTTGTGATGGGAGGAATGCTGAAAACTTAGTGTTAAGTTTATGTGGTTTGATTGCAAATAGCAAATTTCTTGTCACTCTGCAGACTGTGGGCCTGGGATTTGAGGTGGTTGTGGAGCACAAAACCAGGGCAGTTCCTGAAGAGGAGGCTGTATAAAGTTGCTGATTTACCTTTGCACAATTAATTTGAATTCAGAGGAGTGAATGGGGCCTTTGAAATGTGATGTCAATGAGTAATGAAAGTATACCTTTCTGCTTTATTAATGTATGAATAATGAGCAGAGCAACTAATTAAACACTCTTTCCTCTGCTCTCTGGAAAGTAAAGCTCTCTTGAACAAAGGCTGACGATGTTCACTTATGTCTATGTGGCTGACTCACAGGACACTTGATGGGGAAAATGTCCTCGAGCTCACTGTTACTGTTCTGTTCCAAAGAGACTTTTTTAAAGAGCAGAGTGAGCAGCTTTTGAGACTTTCAGTGGCCAGTATTCACAGCTTTCTGTTAAGGACATCTAGTTGTTCAGTTGTTGATAAAATTAAAAGGAATGGCACCAAATTCTGCTCGTATTCATACTGATGAAAGGTAATGTCACAGTGATTTGTGTTTCCACTCTTTCCCAGGACATGAGCAGGTGTCCTCCATCCAGCTGTGTGCCTGGTAGGAACACTGCTGGAAGTGGGATGAGATTATGGTTCAGTTTCTACTTTGAATTTCAAATACTTAACTTTGGCCAGGATTTCTATATCTCTCTTCCTAAAGTTGCCAACATTTTTGTTAAGGAAGTAGAAACTCTTATTTCCCAACAGTTTCAAATGCTTAAATCAAGCATTTGAAGATAGAATTTGCAAAAATTTTAATAAATGGACAAAAGTTTTCAAAACAAGACCCAGATGAAAGGAACTCCTGACTAAAATAATTAGTTTAGAAACCAGATATGGTGCAGTGATTGTTTATTTAAATGCCCTTTATCAAGTGTTCCCCATCATTTCCTGTATTAATCCAACAACAGAGTCTAATTCTACTTTCAGCATAGGTTCTTCAGTTAGGTCTGTAATCTAAGATCTACTGGGAGAGACTTGGTCTGTCATAGGGTTCCACCAGCAGAAATCCAAATGCAGCATTGATTCTTGGTACTTTGACACCATTCCTTTGCTGCTCAGAAAAGCAGCTTATCTGTTACACACTCTTAAAAGATCGGATCTTGTGCATTGTGCATGGTATGTGGACAGGGAAAGAAAGTTGTGTTTCTGGCATCGATGTCCAACTAGAAGGAAATAATACAACTAAGGTACAGGGAAAAAGATGAATTAATGAATCTACTGATGTATGACAGAAGTAATTGATAGAATGAAGGGAACGGTGTGGAATTTGATGTAGATCCGTAGGCAAGCTCACTTCAACAGATTTAAAATATTTAATACACTGGTAATCATCCTTCTGTGATGATGACCACACCATGTTTAAAGAGGTCTCCAGACTGAGGTATGGAAAGTCCAGTCTCTGCTAATGCTTCACCCTCTTGAAGCAGTTTGACTTGGGAAATTGAAACTGTCTCCTTTCTGCTGGCATGTTTAATTTCTAACCATATTGTGCCACAAAAACTCCTTTTTAAGATGCTTTTATTCCTCTTGACCTATCATGGGACATTAGGGCTGTCTGCACTAGATAAATGATATCTTACATATCAAAGTGAATGATGATCCCTATTTCCTTTTCCAATACTATTCCAAAAGTATTGCTTTCCTTGGTGTTTCTAAGCAGAATTGCCTTTAATTTATGGTGCTAGAATATAAACGTTGACTACTCTAGTTTTGCAGTTTAAGGACAGAAATTCTTTCATGCACCTATTGCAAAGGACAAATAAGAGAGCCAATTACTATCATTAATCTTTTTGCTAATTCACAAAGGCTATGAACTCATAGGCATAATTTTCTACGGTTATCAGTAGCTGTTATTAAGAGCAATGTGCAGAGCTAAGGCAAATTGAAGATGTGAGTGTCATCCAGCCAGGGGTGGGTACCCTTCAGCTACATTTAGAAATAAAAGAGATCTCTCAGTTCAGTCTTCATGTGGTCTACATAAAGCAAAAGAATATTAATAGTACTGTCCTTATGACAACATCAGGTACCTGCCAAATTTAATAATATAAGCACAGTTGACAGCAGAGCTAGATTGCTTCTTAAAAATTTCCTGGGAGATGAAATGTGTCTCATCAAAGCAGATAGGTTCAGAGAACAGAACAATTAGTGCTTCTCTTCAGGAAATATCTAATTAACCTTATGCTCAGTAGAAAGAATACACTTTCTGTTGAGCTTGGATAAGCTTTCAACACATGCCTGAATGCTTTACTGTGGCCCCAAGTGCTGTGGACCTGATTCTTCAGAAAATTGCTGCCAGATGTAGAGTTTAGGAATACAGTGAACTGTCACCATTGCCATTTGGAGTACTGTGGATTTCTTATGATAGAGCAGTGAGCATTCTGTCTTGATCTGAAAAAAACCTCTTTTCTCCAAGTAAACGTCAAACACTAGAGTGGGACTGCTATCTCCAAGTGCAAATAAGCTGTAAGTTCAGCTCTGTGCTTTGCTGTGCCAAGAAAACATTGAACTCTTTCCTAAAGACAGCATATTTATAATCTAGGAATATGACAACAGCTTCTTTCTGGGGTTCAGCACGCAATTCATTCTCAAAGTGCCTTAGTTGGGACTTATTTCAATGGCAATTACAATAATTCAGTAATACTTCATTTTTCTTCCTTTTGGGTCACCACAATTCAGTAATTCTTTTTTTTTTCCCCTATGCTGTTTTCTCCTGAACAATATTGTAAATGAGGAAGCTGTTAGTTCTGGTTGGGAACTGGCTTTTCAGGTTTTCTCTATTCTACTTGTAACTGATATTAATTTTAAAGGAAAATATCTTCCTTAATGACATCAGTAATGATTGCACTTCTGAAGCCATTGTCTTAAGTCTGAATTGCTGGTAAAAACTAGTAAAGCTCAGGTGTTTTCCATGGGTGAATGGGAAAATCTGAGCCACTAGTGAGGGTAGTTTACATGTTAGGAATTCAAGCTGTGAAAAGTGTCTAAGGTCCAGAGAGAAATTTTAAGTAGATGGTCATTGGATCTATGGCAAATTACTCGAGCAAAGTCTGTTCCAGAATGTGCAGTAAATGTCAGATCTCTCCCAACCAGGAACAGTCCTTAGCTTTGCTTTCCAGCTTATGGAGCACAGGATCTTTGTGATCAGAGTAAGTTGGTACCTCCTTGTATGAGGTGTGTGAATAGCATGTCCTGGGACACACCCATGGCAGAAATCTCGTAGCTTCTGCATAAAGCATAAGTGCAGTTCATATGTTTGTCTTTGTGCAAATGCATGCACACTGAAGTGATGCAAAGCCTGGGTTCCTTTTGAGATGCTGGTAGTAGAGAAAAAAAAAATAACGCCTCTGCAAACACATTCTTTTCTGATGCGTGAGAGAATTTTCTCAGAAAGTCTGGGAAGGAGTTGGACACATTTCTGCCTTTACTCAGAGCTCTGTTGGCACCTGTCAGGTTGGTCCGGAGAGATGTCTGATCTCTGAACTCAGCTGGCTGTGTCAGCCTTGCTGAGAGCAGCCTGTGCTGCAGCCAGTGACCCTGGGGTTTCCAGATTTCCTTCCTCAGAGCAGGGAGTCCCTAAGGGCTCTCAGCTGTGGGTGTTTTAGGTGGCCTGTCTTGCCCGGCCCAGGTGGTTGCTGAGTGGGCTCAGGAGGTTCGCTGCAGCTGTCGTGCATCTGGCTACAGCTTTCAGGGCTGCCAAAGACACTTCCTGCCAGCCTGAAGCACTGGGAGAATCCCAGGTAGCATTTGTTTCAGAGAGGGCTGTTGTAACAAGCACATCTTGTGTGTTTTGCCCTGAGCAGGAGGAGGGTGGTCATTCAGCTGCCCCACAACCTTTAAGACTCCCCAGAAAGACCCCGAGAGCTGTGGCAGCCAGAAGCCCAGTTTTCCTCTGTAAAAAACCCCACTGCTCTATTTTAGCTTTTCCTCAGTGTATTTTTTACATCTTTCTGCAGCAAAAACTAGATAATGACCTAATCTCCTTTCATCTGCCTTGGACTAAAACATTAAAACTTAACCATGGCTAATATTAAATATTATGTAGAGCTGCTCATAGTAAAGCTGTCAAACATGGTGAGATACTCATAGACAGAAACAAGTCTGTGGTAAATTCTCAGCTGCCAGAAGATATATAAGATCATTTAACATGTTCAAATTCTCCAGTGGAGTAAAGGCTGGAGAGGATTACTTCTGGCTGTCGAATTGCCAGTGTGATTTGTTTCAGCAGCTTGATATTTCTCAACAATTTGCAACTCTGAACTGAATTGTCATTTCCTAATTATTTTGGCAGAGCTAAAAGGGTCAGACAAAGAGTACAGTCTCTCTCAATTGTCAGGCAGAAGATGGTGTTTGTAGGCATTACAGCTCTTCACTCCCAGCTCTGATGTACAGGGTTGGATTCCTGGGGAGAGGCAGACAAACTGCTTACTGTATTCTTCCAGTGGAGTAAATGTGAAAAGTTCAATTGTTGTTCATTTTAAATAGAAACACACACTGTTTAGTCGTACTTGACAAAAGGATGACTGTTCCTGTGTCATAACAGCTAGGATTATTTCTTCTCATACACACCTTGAGGGGTTTGGGCGATATACCTGCACATCTATGCACTAATTTAATAAATATAAGTTAAATCTCCTCTTTCTGTAAAAAGGAAAATTATGTGAAAAAGTTTTGGTGAATTCAGAATCAAGTGCCTGTGTTAAGCTTTTGTTATCTCTTCTTTGACTTAAATCCCCTTTTCGATTAAAAAGGTAGGATTTTCTTAGTTGTCATTGTTGCCTTCCATTAAGATCTCCAACTCTACCTGAATTCTATTTTTTGGTGTGTGTAGGGTTGCTCTTTGTTTGCTTTTCTTTGACCCTTTCATCTTTTTACTAGAAATGTTTCAACAACAGCCACATTAAAAAACAAGCCCAAACTTGCTACAAAACTCCTGTGTGATTCAGGGAAACTGCAACGAGATTGATTTTTTCCCCCCCCCCCTCCTCTATTTTAAGTTTGCCTTGTGGTTTAAGATGTTGAATAGAAAATATTCTGATAACCCAGGATTGCTCCTGTGTCTGTCCATCTTCCTGAAGGATAGACTGAATGTATTGAATTTTTTTGGGTAGTGAAGATAAGTGAATAAATATTCTCCTCATAAGAATAAAGAACACTTGATCTCATATTTTTTTTCAAGAAGAAACTAGGACTATTTACTCGCAGCTAAAATCTGCAATCCCTAATTCTACAGAGATATTAAAAAAGATAATTATTTTTTCTGAGGAAGCTGTTTGGCTTTGAAATTAGCATTGTCTAAAAGCATTGACTTTTCAAAAATAGTGAACTGTCCACTCAGCTCATGTTTTCAGACCCAGGAAATAACAATGGAAGGATGATGCTAGAAATAATCCAAGATAGTTGCATTGGAATTGACTGAAGAACAGTACTAGGCTTTTTTTTCTTAGAAATTGTAAGAGCAGTCTAATGTATTGTTCACAGAACCACATAACATAAAGAGCTGGACCCTTAACCTTCACCCCAGATATTTCATAGGATTAACATTTTGCAACAGTCTACTTGGGTTTCCTGTACTTATAGTTTAGGTCAGGTAATTAGGACAGTAATTCAGGGTGATTTTACTCAGGGATTTATACAAAAATTCTTAGCTGTATGTTCGTTACCCATAAGGGTATAGTGCTGATTCCATTATAAAATTAAATAAAAACTGTTTTTATTTGTAACTCAAGTTATTTCAGGAATATGAATAACACTTAATGAAGCTCAGTTTTGAGTTTTTTGTGGGTTTCAATTAAACTATATTATTTAAATCTACTTCTTCACTACCTAAGGGATATTGGAAAGCAGATACAGATTCCTAGTTCTGAATTAATTGAGCTCCTATGTTATTGATAATGTGAGGGAGGCCCCCTGAAGAAGCAATCTTTCTCAAATTTCAATCTCTTTTAAGGCTTTCTTGGAAGGGAACTTTTTTGTCTTGCTACTCTTAGCTACATTTTACAAAGTGACTGTTTTGTGCTGAAGGATCTGCCTTTTCCTCCAGAATGAAGTGATCTTAATTTTTGGAAAATATGACTTCCTGTGCTGGTTGTGATGACACACTGGGACAGTTGCTAAACCAAGAACAGCAATAAATCAGTTCCTGAATTCTAAGGTTCTGTGGATGATGTGTGTAGTGCTCAAAGGCAGCTGTATCTTCAATGAGGGCACACATGGACTGAAAACCAAGCTTTGCTTACAGGATGGAGAATAGCACAGGCTTTGGTGCCACGTGATAAAATGTTTTCTGTATGGTTTAAGATCATGTAAGATGATCTTAATGCTTACATGTTCCTCATTCCTTTGATACCTGTGGTCTCAAAATGTACCCTCCTCAGCAATTCCTAGGAGGTGGGAAAATTCAGTGATGCCAGTTGTGAGAGGTAAGAAGCCCAAAGTTAGAAGAGATAGTGATTTGTCCAGGGTAATGCAGCTTCTCTGTGATAGGAAGCAACTGAAGTAGTGTCTCAACTTTTGGCACATTCTTCCTCATTAGTCACTTCTGGCTTACTTCATTTTCCCTAGAAAAGAGAAGAAGAGGAAAGACAGAAAGGTGAGGAACTAATCAGGCAGCAGGAAGAAATCCGGGCAAAGGAGCTGTACCTGAGCCTCAAGCAAGCTCAGCAGCACAGTCAGCACAGCGACGATGACCAGGAGTGGGAAGAACAGTGTGAGTAAAACTGCCTCCACAGCACTCATGTGTTTCTGAAAGCAGATAAAATGACACTTGCAGAATGGCGAAGGTGTGGCCAAAAAATCTCTTCTACCTAGAGCAGTGCAAAGTACGGTATTATTTTGGTGGAAATTGCCAGCTTAAAATTACAAACATAAGTTTTGGATTTCTTCCTCAATCTGAGTCAATGCCTTATAAAAAAGTTTTTGTGTACAATGACTGAGATCATTAAGTTCTGTCTAATGTACTTAATTAACAGTTTTGGCTTAGTAATATTAACTCAGGGCACAGTTATTTTGACAGCTTGTCCTCAGCTATCTTTGAAGAGATAAAATCTGTCTTCATCAGTGTTTTAATTGCTTCCATATGGTAGTGGGGTGAAGCTATGATATCAATGCTGAAACTCACTTCATTCCAAAAGATTACAGTAAATCATACTTAGATTGTTGCTCTAAAAAAACCACCTGATGATGACCTCATTCTATGGAAGTACTGCTCCTTTTTAGATAGCCTGAAATTCTTTATGAATATCATAATTGTGTTTAATTTCAATTTTTTTAGTGATTTTAAAAAGTGTATAAGGAACAGAACAACTATATTATTATATAGATGTATACATTAGTAGTGTAAATAAGTAATGGCCCACATTATGAATAAATTTCAAAATATACAGTTAGTTTATTTTATGGCTTTAGTCATCACTTCATTAATTCCTGAGGACTAATTACTGTAGTGCTATTACCTGGAATTGATCTGATAATGAATCATTCTGTACAAGATGAATTAAATCTATATGATACACTGGTGGCATTTTCCAAGCTCATAAAGGAGTATGTTAATTTTGATCAATAAAACCTCTGCATATTACACTGTCAATAAAGATAATTATTTTCTGGAGAATTATCTAAATCCAGGTGTACATGTTTATATGGAAAGGGAAACTAACTTTGTGTATTTTGGGTATGTGAGAGTAAAGCGAGTTGAGGAAAAAGTAGCCCTTTAGTTCTGCAGAAAATCAGCATCAGCTGGCAACCCAGCATAGAAGATGGTATTATGTACTCTTTAGGATTTCTTTGATACTATATAAGGAAAGAAAATACATTTCAATCATAATGTTAAGAGGAAAAAAATAATTTGGGTTACCTTTACATTGAAATAAAACAAAATACTACAAACACTGCTAAAACCAGGTATCATTTTCTTACTATTGCATTAATGAGGTAACTGATGTTTTAAATTGTTGTCTCTGTTTTTTTGAGGGATGCTGTTTGTGCAGGGATAGACATCAAAAATGCAGTAGAATAATTATGGGAGAAGGGAGGGAGAAAAAGGAATAAGCCATGGAAAGTTTTGACCAGGAGTTCTGTAATGGCATTTTTAAAACACTTGTGACTGCGTCGCATGCTGGTGGGGATAGTCTGCCACCAGTACTATGTCTTGTGAAAGCTCTGGGGTATTCTCTATGCTCTGGAGGACTTCTGTCACCTCCAGTCTGTGTGCCTCAGTACCTGCAGGCCTGTCCCCTCAGCCAGAGGGTGACTGAGAGCAGCTCAGCTCGGAGCTGCTGAGCCTGGTCACCGGCAGTAGTGCTGTCAAGGCAGAGCAAAAGCTCAGCACCTTCCTCCTGCTGCTGGGTTTGCAGCCTGCTATAAATTCTGTGCTGCCAGAGTTATGCTGTTAACAGTAATTGATTTAGCATTAAACTAACTGCAGACTAATGACTGGAGTGTTCCATATCCTTGTTTATCCTCTTATGCTTATCTCAGTGTCTCAATTTGTCCCTCTTGGTTTGAGGCACAGAACTGTGCTCCATTAGCACATGGGTGAAGATAGGAAGATGCAGTGTTTAGTGCCTCAGCTGAGACCAGTTGCTGGCTGGTTTAGACTATGCTATCAAACTTTCCACTGAGTTTCCTCAGGTGTTTTAACATCTTCCATTGCCTTAACTTTACTGCAGGAGCCAAAATGTGCAGCAGATAGTAACAAATATTTGGAAGTGGGAGCATCTGAAATTGCTATGAAATTAATTAGTACCTCAGGTTCACCAGATTTCTCACTTTTTATTTCAGTTCCAGATACATTTTTCTTTTTATGGTAATCTTTCCATTTTGTCTGCAAGTATTCCTGTGGGGCACTGAGAGGAAATTTAGTGAAGTTAGGCATAGCTGTCCATGAGTCAGCTTTTCTAAGTAATAAATAAATGCATGAATGCATAAGGGAATTACAAACAGATATAATATTTACATTTTTTGCCACTACCAACCTGCAGTGGAGACCATATTGTCTATTAGGAATAAGGCCAGGCTCCTTTGGGTCTTACCTCCTTGAAGGGAGCCCTGCCCTGTTCCACAGAGCTGGGGCTCAGTGCTGCAGGGGAACAGTAGTGCTAGAGCAGGTATTGGGGACAGGAATGTAGCAATGATATTGATGACACTACTAATTTGTTTAGTAGATGGAATTCAGAATATGATGGGGATTCATCTCTCCTCATCACATTATCCCTCAGCTATTTATTGCCAAGGCAATAAGCAAAGTGGTGCTAATATTAGTTTCTGTTGTTCAGTTCAGTTTGCTTCTGCTGTTTGCCAAAGAACAATAATGGCCCATAGAACTACTGTGTTAACTGAAACACATGATTTTAGGGCTTTTAGTATAGTAAATAACAAGTGTAGAATAATTTTGGGAATCAGTGCTAAAAGGGAAAAATGATGTTGAAGAGCAATTACACAGTTTGATTTCATATAAAAGATATATATTGGGGTATTTTAGAGAGCAGTTGTAAGTTAGTAAGTCAAGCAGGGATATTGGTTGGCAAGTGAAAAGATGAATAGTGGAAGACTTATTCAGAGAGTCTCCTGCTCAAAACTCTTATTTTTGAAACTGAAAAACAAAACTAAACTTGCATAGCAGAGGGTACGTATTTTCATTAGTTTTGGACACTTCTGTGTGTTCTCCCATTTTTAGGTTTCTAGTTTAAGTGCGACCTCTCTTTGAGAAAGCAAAAAATGAATTTGTGAAACATGACAGAAAAATCTGTAGCACAAATCTGATGGAATATTGTAAAAGGCATTCTGTTAATACACTTACAAAGCCCTGCAAACTGCATCAGGTAGGGAAATGCTCAGATACCATCTGACCAGCTTTCTCCAGAAAAAACTTAGTCCAGTAAAAATGCAAACAGAGATGAGTGAGTTGATCTATTCTTTTGCCTTTCCCTGAGCACCTAATTTTGGTCTCTTGGAAGAAGGATACCAGGCTGACTCATTATAACTTCTTCTATCCATGTTTTTATGAATTTATTTTTGCCTGACTTTTAAAGGAATTCATTGATTATTTATATTCCCCAAAAATTCAAGTGAGTTTGCTGGCAGGAGCATTGATAAAATGCTGAATTTTCAAGTGAGCGGTCCCCCGCTTACCTATTCATTAACTAAGCAAGTGCTTAATCTTACATATATGTGCCCTCTGAACTGCAATAGGTCTCACAGTGCATTGCTGAATAGGAATGAGATTATTCACGTGCTTTCACGTAAGATTGCTGAACTGAAGTCATATTGCAGAATATTTGTGGGAAGTTATATTTTCCACTTAGGAAAGGGAAAAAACACTGAGTGATTTGTATGTGCACTCAGAAAATCTGAAGATTGAATTTTATGTATTAGTTAGTCATTTTGAATAAACATGCTTCCAAGAATTTATGAAAGGGGAAAGCTTAAACAAAAAAAAAAAAGTTAAAATTAATGATGGATATTCATAGCATATGTTTGGGGTTTTTTTCAGCTTTCACATATCTGACTGTAAATCAAAAATAGATTGAGTTAGAAAATAGATGATAGAAAATGGAGAGGTCTTAGTCTTTCACAAATTATTTAATCAAGTTCAGCTGCAGCACATTGTGAATTAATCCTCATCTATATCAAAATATTTGGTATTAGAACTTTACCAGGACTGCTAATAGGGATTTCCCAATCCTAAGAAAATATAGAAGAAAAAAGGCACCTTAGGTTAGCATAGAGAAAGAATAGATTCTTATACACTGCTCATGGAAAACAAGGTGATCCCAAGCCAACCCCTCTAGGACCCAAAGAGCTCCTGCATATCCAGCTTTGTAGTTTGCTCTTCGTTGTTAAGAGGATGTTCATACTGCATGTCACAGAGACATGTCTGAGCTGGCTTTGAACTGTTCATTTCTAGTAGTGACCACCAGACAATAATGGCAGCATGGACCAGTCTTGGATGTATCTACCAGTATTCCAGGAGGGCTTGGTCATGCATTTTTGGCCTGCTGTGCTGAGGCTGCAATCACAGTGGTACACACCTCTCTGAGCAGCTCAGGCATTTCTACACAAGCTCCTGTTCCAGGAGGGCAGAAATTTCTTCATTTTATGAGCACTGGAGGATGTGCCTGTTGTTGGTACCACCAACACCAGAAGAGAAACTGGTCTTGGAACTGGTCTTACAGTTCTTAATTTCCCTACCTTGTCAGTCCTTACATTATTCCATGAAATAAAAGAAAGGTGTAAGAGTATGTAAACTATTATTTGTAGTAATTCTTTATGCTAGGCATATGGATCTGTTATGGTGATTCAGAGCTTTTATGGTTTTTTTTCCAGACACATAATCTCCCCACTGAGAATACTGACTGACTACACTACCAGTGTTTTTCACAGGGGTCATGCCAGAAGTAAATTTATTGTAAAAGGACAGCCAGCTAAGAAAAGGAATCTATTTCTAATTAAGTCAGTACGAGAAGTCCTGACTACTTTTGCTTTCTTGTTACTGAAAAGGTTGTGATATGTCTTAAAATATAAGTAATGCAGAATTTTGGCTTCTTCTGTCTTAAAATTGTGCTAGACTTGATCCAGACATAAAGTTCTCCCTCCTAGTGAGATGGGTTCTAAGCCATAAAGAAAAATATGAATAGTAATGAAATTCTATTGTAAGAAAAACCTTCTACAAAAATACACCCAGATTTATCTTCAGACTCTAAGTGACTTTCTCAAGATAGATAAATTTGTGGGAAGTGTCAGTATGGGAGGATGGCTCATGTGGTATATATCATTTTGTCTGGGGTGTAGTGAAAAATTTTCTGTAGATTCCTGTGATGGCTTTATCTCCAATACTATTTCTAGTCACCAAACATGGTTATTGATGCCAGTGACTTTGATTATTTGCTCAAAGAGCTCCTTGACCAATCAGAGATTAAAAGAAATTTAGGATAACCTAGCAACACAGGTCCACAGTTGAAGCCATATTAGACAACTTCTAAAGGTAGAGGAAAGAGAAGGATATTTTTGGGAGTAACTGTAAGGGAGGAAATAGGGAGAAAATCAGGAGTCCAGTAATGAGAAAAATGGATTAAGAGTTCCTATGCATCCCTATGGTTAGTAATAAAATTCAGATACCTCCACTGAGAAATTTCAATAAAAATTCTCCATAAAGTGAAAGAGATAATTTTGTATATAAAATCTCAATATCTATATGCAGCTTTCCCTATCCTTATGTGTACACAGACACACATGTATGGGTATGTACACAAATTTAAACACACATACATACATGTATATGTCTGCATAGAGAGGGCTGCATGTCATACTTTCAAAAAGTTTTCTGAATATTGATATTTAACACTTGCTATCAATATTTAACAGTTGCTATTGATATTTAACTATGCTACCTCATGTCATATGATTGTGATAAGTACTAAAGTTTGATAATTTGGGAAAATGTAGTCTGGGTCACTGACTTCTGATGGCACAGATTTGTTGGCTAGCAAAAACACAATAGGAACAACTATTAAAAATAGTGCCTATTATTGAGGAAAGAGAGGCATGAAGATACCTTGTCTTTCTCATTGCCAGGCAGCCTGTACATCAGTAGAAAAGAGTCCCAGAAAGCTCCAGGCAGTCTGCCCTCAATCTTAATTTTGTGATGGTGACAAACAGTTGAGGGTTTCTAGATGTCTTGCAAAGTTGCATCACACTCATCTTCCTTGCAGTCTCTCCTTGTGCTGCAAGCACAAAGTTCATCTTTAAAGTGTCCGTTACTGAGAGGCTTTATAAGGGATAAACCAGAAATACTGGAGCCATTGAAGCACTATATGTAAATGACATTATCTACCCTTAAAATGAATGATCTCTAAGATAAATAGTGAAGTCTGTTACTTCCTGTGCTGTGCAGTTGTTTTTTACTGTGTTTAGCCTAAACTGCAGGGTATGTAGTTAAGTGAAACTGAAATCCTGCCAGTCGTACATGTGAAGCATCTGTGACTTGTTTGTTATGCTATCTTGATGAGCTTTTAGTCCTGCATATCTTTCTGCTTATGATAATATTATATAATTCCAAGCTTAAAGATCTTTTCCCTTTCACTTATTTGCCCACAAGGTTTTATTTCATTTCATTTGGTTTTGAGTGCTTTTATTTCTTGATTCCATTAGACCTTCTTAGAATTTGGGAGTTAAATCCAGTTATACTTCTGCTTGCTTTAAATTGGGAGTATAAACCAGAGGGGATGCAAGCAGACTAATGAAATGAAGATGTCTGGTATTATATCATGCATTCCTAGTCACAGGTGCAGTCACAGGGGAGTAGGAAATTGAGTGTTCTCTTTATGAACTGGATATGATCTAAGCCAGGATAGTCATGGTAGGATTGATAATTGCTACTGGAGGCCATAGCTAGCTTCTTTAATATTTGCTTCACTGCATGTTAAAGGTTTGTTTTGCACTGGAATAATTTGCCTGCCTGCAGTTATTTGTGACTCAAAGACATCATCCAAATAGGGCTTGAGGCACCAGAAAAGAGCTGATAAGATGACGAATATTTGCAGTAGAATTCTTGGTGCACTTAAGTTATGCCATGTTAAAGATGGGATTGTTGGAACATTAACTTTAAAATGAAGAAGATTTAGTGAAAAATGCCTGAACCATAGTGGCCAGAACAGTAGTCTCATTTTAGGTTACAGAAATGGGAAACTCCATGGTCAGTGCCATGGTTAGGTGCGTATTAAATCTTCAACTACAAGTTCTGGTTCTCCATATACAGTTTCAGAGACTGAAATGTGAGGCAGCCCTATCCATAGCATCAACATGACCTTTCCAATGGCTGTTAATTTATCCATTGTTACTGAAACCATTTTTAGACTGCAAATTTCACGTTGGAAATATCTGTGACTATAAGTACCATGACAAAGATAGCATATGCCTTTCAGAAAGCAAACAGCATTGACAAAGTGCAACCTACATGTCAGTTCTTATAATGGTAAATTTTGGGAGTATACTCTTCAATTCTAGTTATGTTCATAGTGGCCAAGAACACTGTTAGACACAGACTTAATTTAAAGCAGTAATTAACATCCTTTCTTGAAACACAGAACTTGGTGCACTTCCAGGGGAAAAGATGTCCCCAAGCAGAATTTCTCTTATTACAGCCAAAAGAAGTGTCAAATTTAATCACAATATGTAGAGGCTCAGTTTTTGCCAGTAGTGGTCAGATCATTGTTAATTTGAGACTTCTTCTAGAGGTGGGCCTGTGTTTGAAGCATCAGGGAAGTCATCCAGTTATCTGACTTCAGTAATGTGTCACAATTTGTACACTCTTAAAATCAGTTCATCTAGGAACAAGGGCACTAAGCTGCTGTAAGCAGAGGGATAAATGGCTGTTGGTATTTCTCAATCTCTCCTCCCGTTCATTCCGCCCAGTGCGCCGCTCCAAGGCTGCTGACGAGGAGAGGAGCCACAAAGCGCGCAGGGCGCGGGACGAGTACAGACGGCAGTCCCTGCGGGCCATCCAGAAGGGAAGAGTGGCTGGCCTGAGTCATTTGTTCCAGGGGACAAACCTGAGCAATGATCAGGAGATCAAACTGAACAACAACAGTGCGAGTCCTTTGCTGTCTCCTGCAGTGTCCAGGTTGGTTTGTACTGGAGTGGTTTTGAAACAGTTTTCTCTTGGATTGCTCCCTCTCCAATCCCTACCATTTCAACAAGCTGTTCTTCAGATTTTGGGAGTCCTCAGTCTTGCTATTTCCTTATGATCAGAAAAAAGAATGTTTAAAGGAAAAGAAAAACACATCTAATGCAAACTAAATGTCATTTCTCTTCAGGCGGATTTCTTAGAACTCACACAGAGATGACTCCTTGAGAAGACAGTATGAAATCAGTATGTGAGGCTGAAGTCAAATGGACAAATTCTTAAGCAAGTCTTAAGCCTCAGGCCTAAAACTTCCTGCTGCTTATTTTAGAGGCTTTTGGTTTTTTGTGGTTTTTTTTTTCAGGCAAAACAAGTACCTTTGGTATTTATTAATCTTTCAATTAACTATTTAGGGAGCACAATTAATTGCAAGAGAGGAGAAGAATTCAAACCGGAGGAAGATTCCTAATAGCTAAAACATATTAAAAGCAGTAGAAAGAGTAAGGCAGGCTGTCAAGTAGAGAATGCAAAGGAAACATAAAAGTTTAAACAAAACATTCCTTCTGTTTTCTTAGTGGTTCCTGTTTGGAGACAGAGTATTATAGCTGATACTGATTTAGAGTTTTTTGCCAGTAAGAAGGAATATACTCAAGAAAAAAGAATTACTTGTCAATATTTACAATGGAATAAAAATGAGGTGGAAAAGGAAAGTTGACTGAAATGTCCATTGTGGCAAATTGTTTTTTCAGTTTAAGTTCAGTAAGAAAATGTTCAGGGTGCTGTTGCAAATATAAAAATCACACCACTGTGGTTTCCATAAAAACACAAAGTAAATTTAACAAATGTTAAGAAGCCGTTCAGTGAGTTGTAGTTACACTGACCATTTTGCAGCTGTATGTCTTGCCAATATGTAAAAAAAGACTATTATTTATGCTGTCCCTTGTTCTCACACACTGCTGATGCTCTGTCTTTGGTGCAGTAACATCTGGGAGCGCCCTTCTCGGCCCTTCTCCCGAGACGTCATCATTCGCTGGTTCAAGGAGGAGCAGATCCCTCGGCGGGCTGGCTTTGAGAGGAGCACCAACAGGATTGCTCAGTGGTTCCATGGTAATTCCCTAATCTCTCATTTTGTGTAGAACAGAGCTGTGAGTATCTGCTTGGAAATTAATCTTGCCAGCTTCCATCCCAAAAAGCAAAGCCTACTGACATGGTGAAACCGAGTGCCTGTTAAAACAAGACTTTTGCATCTTTCCTACTATTAGCATACAATTTTCCTGTTTTCTTTTTACTAATTAAGTAGACTAATGTGGGACTCATAGCACCAAAGTTTTTTTCAGGAATATTTTGGCCAAAATATACTTGCTGCAAAATAGCAAGTCAAGCGAGAGTACTGAAACAAAGATAGGGTGAGAAGAACTCCAAAATTAACTGGAAAATACTACAATGTTGGGGTAGGTAGATGACTGATGTTCAAGCTTTTGATTTACCTTTGCAAGAATGACTTGAACTCATATCTTTTCAGTCATTTTTTTACTTTATAAACTGGGGGAGCATTTGTTTCTTGCTTTCTTTTGCAAACAAAAAAAAATTTTTTTCCTCAAAAATAATTGAGAGTGTATAATTTTAGGCAATTTTCCTGAAGTGGGACATGTGCAGATTCAAAATTTGCTGTCTTATCTGCTGGAGTTGCTAGCATCTCTGAGACTTTTGCTTTGTATAGCATTTGCAATGCAGCTGAATCTTTGATATCAAATTCACAGGTAAGATGTCTTATTTTCATAGGTATTAGCAATGTTCTTTATATTCAGTATTCTTAGACATTTAAAAAAAAAAAAGAGTTCTGGCTTAAAGCTGACATAACTGAGGGGACCAGCAAGACTTTAAAGCTAAATCTGGTTTTTTTTTTTGTTTTTTTTTTTTTTTTTTTGATGAGTCTCTTGCGTTGTTCAAGGCACTAAGCTGACCCTCATCTGATTCATGATTCTCTAAGGCTAAGATGACGATGTGTGGGCGTTCTGAAGTGAGTCAGGCAATGAAGATTTCTAAATAAGTTTAGTGTTTCATATATTTCAGATTTCTGTTTATGATACACAAATCCTTATGTGTTAAAAGACATCAACAAGCTGCTATTTTCATTGGCTTAATTGGTCAAAGACACTGAAGTTAGTCATGTATAGCTTGTTAATTCTAAATACTTTCATTTCTTACTAACAGTGATGCAGTGTTACTTTGCTCCTTAGGGAAGACATTTGGTGTGGTTGCTTTCTGAGAGAAAAACTGATTAAAATTTCATTTGTGGGCATTTGCCAGACATGCTTCCAACCAGGATCTTTCTGTATGATCCGATGATAAATGTTTTCCCTGCATGTGGGAAGGTCACATCCATATAAATTAATGTGAGGAGTTACAAACATAATTTATGCCTAAAGTTAAGGAGGTATCTGAGCTTGAGCCAATGCATGTGCAGTCTTTCTACTGATTTTGGTGGCTTTTGGATTAGTTTGTTAATCACTGAAAGAACTGAGACATTCTTGATCATTCCTTAATTTCCCAGGTCATGCTCTTCATATCCTGAGAAACTGAATGCAATGACTTATAAAGTGAGCAAAGTACCTAATTTTTCCTTTTCTCACTCGAAGAGCCTGACAAAGACAATCAAGTTCCATTCACAGCCTAAAACTCAGTGGTTTCTTTGCAGGGACTCCTGTGAGTGCTGGTTTGCTACCTATTTGCTGCATGAGTTATTTTGGATTCTGCAGCTTTGGTCAGATTAATTGTTACAATTGCAAATTTTGAACAACTCAGCTACCTTGTAACTCTTCTGCAGTGGTGGAATCTAAAGAGGCTATTACAGGGGCAATAATTAGTGTTTGGTAGAGTTATGTGGTGTCTGTGTTACAGTTTGTAGTGCACAATGACTCTGACGGAAACCAAACAGAATCACAGATTATGCAGCTCCGGAGGGGACCCACAAGGATTATTGAGTCCAACTCCTGGGCCTCCTGTTATTTTGTACTGTATTCAGGGAACCAGGATACTTTATGAATGATTTTTGTCTATGAACAAATATACAGCAGTATATATTTGACTTGTATAAGAAATTGGCAGTACAAATGAAAGCCATTCTGCAAAGCCCAGAATTACAGCTGACAACTCGAGCCACTGGGTCTCCTCAAGCATCTCTTACAACAGATATAATCAGGTTCTTCACATCCTCGAGCAAATTCTGTATTTTCTTATATCTCAGTATTGGACCATAAAATGGAAGTTTAATATTCTGCCTCACGTTAAGGGCTTTTTGAATGCAATGCACTAAGAGAGCTATTGCAGCAGTACTGAAAAAGTAGATACCAGTTTATTACAGAATTACATGTTTTTGCCAGGGTCAGTAGAGCTTGGCTTGTCTGCTTTGACTGTCAGGCTGTTCAGCTTTTTAGCTGAAGTTAAGCATTAGGTGATTCACTGTCTTCAAATTGTACTGTGGACATATAACTTATTCTAGTTATTCAGAGATGAAGCTTTGAGACAGATGTGTGTAGCTAAAGTAGCAAAGTACAAATCATAATGCAAATGTCTTTATCCTCATATATTTGGCTTATTTTCCACTTTAAGTGATCAAACCAATCTGGATTCTGTTTAAAAATACACATTGTCTGAGGCATTTTCATGGTACATGAAACACTGTAACATATGGCTTGCTTAAGGTACCTGAAGTTTTCCTTTTGTCTTCATTTGAAGAATCACTACAAAATGTATCATTTGAAGCAAGGTAGTAAAATCTGTAGTAACAAAAGGTCTTTCAAATCAGAACATTTCTTTCTTTATTCACAAAAGGTTACTTCTTAAATAAATATCAGCTTCAACTTCATCCATCTCTATTTATCTCTTGAAATTATCATCAGTTATCTAAATTTCAGCAGATGTTTTTTAGCTCATTTGAAATAGGCTTTACTGTTTTTTTAATTTAAAAAATTGACACGTTAAGGATACAAATTGTAACACATAACTGAACTCTGGATGTAAATTCAATTATTTTTTGCTCTGTTTGAATAATAGATCCCTGCCAAAACCCAGTTCAATTGCCCTTCAAATCTAGAATGATTTTCTTAAGTTTGCAAAGAAAAAACCCCACATATTTATTGTCAAATGTTTTATATAAATTAAACCCAATTTTAATTCTATCCTAAATAATAAAATTATTATATGATCTTTACTTCATTTGGGTTGTGAAACACGAACCTTTTTTTACAAGTAGCTTATGCTCACTTTGTGGCCACAGTGCTCAACTCTCAAATGGTTAAAACAGAGAAGAATCAGAGCCAGTGATTAAGGTGTCACCAGGACTGTCTTGGGATTTAATGTAATCAGTGTCTCTTTCTTTTGTATTGTCTAATAGTCGCCTTAGGTTTGAGTGAAAAGAAATATTATTTTATTTTTTTTACTATGAAAACTAAGTAATTGGTCTAAATTTAATTAAAGGTAAATCCTGTACAGTGTGATAACCAGAAAGTTAATAATTGTATTCTGATTTCCTACCTGCTAATTGATGAGTATTAGCATATTAATCAAACTTATATGGGCATCCTAATGTTGTATCAAGTTGTATGAAAGATTTTTGTTAATTTGAATTAAGAGAGTTCTTTGCCAAGATCCCAGTTGCTGATGTGCATTGAAAGCAGGGAAGTAAGCTGGTTTTTAGAAGGGGAGAGCTGGCTCTCAAACAGGCTGGAAAGGGGGATACATTCCACATTCCATGTTTTTCTAAGTTTAGCTTTGAACAGGGTTTTTCTTTTCAAACCCCTGTGTGTCCCATGCTGAGTAAAGGGAAAGTTATCAGTCTTCCCTATATGTTGAAGAGTTTTGCCAAACTATCAGAGACATTAGCAAATTGTAGTTTTCAGTTTATTGCAGGCATAAGACACTTGGGATAGAATTCCATATGGCACAAAACTAAAGACCCTCCCTCCCCTCAGTATTTAACAAAATGTTGCTGGTGGCTGGAATGTGTGTTATTTCCATATTTGCTCTTTCATTTGTCCTTTAACCTTTCTCTTGTGCCTGCAGTCTGTTTCAGCAATTTTTTCCCCATTACAATTAGTTTGTCAGCTGTTACTTTTGATAGTTTTGATATTTTTTAACTTCCGATGTTAGACTGTTCACCCTCACATACTTTGTTTTGCATTTGGTTATTTTCTATTCAGAATACAGGGGTGCTGGTATTTGCAGAGGGTGTTGATCTCAAAATATTTCCCCAGCTTTAGTTGAGAGCAATGTTTTATGATTGTTTCTGTTTATACACAATATAAGAGGGATCTCTCAGGTGTGTAGTAAGCACAGTACAGAATTTATTCATTGCCTGTCTGTGGGTGGCTGTGGGCTTCTTTGCCAAGCATCTACTGCAGCACTATCAGATCTCCACTTGCCTTCAGGTTGGAAGGAAAGTTCAGAGGCTGATATCACAGATCTGGAGACATGAGGTAGTTGCCCTAAAGGCTGTACCTTTAAAATGTAATTGCAGGAGCATGGGTGCTATTGCGGAGAACCATTTAACCAGGGGAAGTCAGAGGGCTGGTGCAGTTAAGGGAGTGGGGAGCTGTGGAGGAGCTGATCAGAACAGATCGAAGGATGGATTGAAAGAATGCTGAGAGATGCAGGAGATGAATAATCTCTGAGGTCAGGAGAGCCAGGGAAGAATATTTTCATTTTGTCAGGAACATGTTGCAAATGTTTACAGGTCAAGGTTTAGCCTCAGATGGCTAATGCTCTTTTCAGGAAGAAACTTGTTTTCAAGAGCAAAATCTAGCAAATTGAAAGAGTGATAATGGTTCTGCAAATCAGGTGTTCTCAGTAAAGGAGATATTTCTGAAGGTCTATTCATTATGAGTCCTTGAACAAGAGCGAGGGCACTTGGAATATTCATACAGATGAACTGTGGGAAATATAACTTATAGCTTGTATTGTAATATTTTTGAAGGACAAAGAAATGGCAGTGGTTTGTTTGAAAAACATCTAACAGTGAACAAAGTTTGCTGCTTTGAGCACAAAAGCATGCTTTTTCTTCTGCTCTTGGAGAGGAACTTTCCAGTTTTCCAATAAATGCATTTTAG